CGCAAGCTTAATCGAGACGTCAATGTGACAGTTAGATGTATTTCAATTAGGAATTCTAGAAGTAACACAGTTTAACTAAGGAGCACGAAAGAACATATTGTATTCGGAATTCGAAATCAAGCAGTCTTCAAATACAAAGGAATCATCAGTTCATGCATACATCACGGGATTGTTCAGGTTATATATGTAGTTTGCATCAGTTTTCAGATGAACGACTTGATATTTTGTACTGTTTGGGGCAGGTTCATCGTTATTTTCCGAATCTTTAGGTCTTTTCAGGACTTTCCTAAGTGTGAGGTTGTTATTCTAATTGCAAACGTTTGACCAAAATTTAACAGCGACAGCATTATTTACCGTAATTTTATTTGAGAAAAAATTATTACCACCATTACTAAGATGTAATATATCAGAACATACTTGTTAAGGAAGTCCATCTACGTAAACCTTGTAAATCAAATCAGGTTTTTATGCCCTGAAAAAATGTGCAATTTACCTCAGCCTCAAAAAAATCACTTGTTTAGAGTGCGAACAGAGAAACAAGAAAGCCATGGCAAACAACGGAAGACATTTATAGGGATGTTATTTAGTTTTGTCCCTGGTGTGTTCTTTAAACCATAAGCTTAGTCTGATTTATGATTTACAGCCATACTTCTTTCTGTTTGAAAGAAATTGTAATTTTAAGGTAACCTTTGGTACTCTATTTGTTCTACCCTCACGCCCAGTTAAGATGTATTATTATTATTTTTAATTGCTTAGATGTTGTGGTCATGTCAGTCACCTATTTATTCCTTATTTTTTTACATCAATCTGAATTGGGAATCAGAAATAAGTTGAATGATGTCACTGTTGATTTGTATTTTCTCTCTATCGCTCGCTCGTCAGCCAATCAGGTGGCGGAATAGTTCTTGTCCGTCTACCCAATGCGTTTCGTCTCAATTCGGACCCAAATATTTCTAGCCTCGGGGTTGAAGCAGTCAACCTTTCGTGTCACGTTCTTAATCTAGACTGATACAAGTTATCCACTGTACATTATCAAACAGATAGATCAGAGGCATGATAATTTAAATCCGGCCTAGAAACTGAAGCCTAATGACTGAGCACTTATGTTTGACTCTGTCAAACCTTCCAAAGAAACAAGGATAATTATACATACCTTAAGGCCAACCAATCTTCTGTAGTCAACAGTTCGGCTACACAGAACTGGCCCTTTCTAAAGTCATGTTATCTGAGCGAGAATAAAACTAGAATATACTGGATAAGTGCGCAGACTATGGCGTTCGGCGAATGTGGTTTCGCATAACCTTGAGTTGATTGCGGGTTCTGAATGATACGTGTAAAACAGACTGATATGTAATGCGCAAAATTTACATATTATAACATCTTAATGAGTGTTCAGCCCACCTTTAATAGGTCGTCCTTCAAAGCCTGAGAATCCAGTTCTTCGAGTCCCAACCACCGTCTCCCGCAGAATGTTCAAGGTCATCAATACAAGTAAAAGTACGAATGAGATAGACGTGTCTACCTTTTCTCAAGGGAGCTGGGTCTGTTTTCAGTCAACAGTTTTTCCTTATTTTAAGAGAGACAGAGTCTTCCCATTTCTCAACAGGGTTTATTATTTTAAATTTTCGAACAAACTTAATTTTCCGGTGACGTTAAAAAACAGAGCTTTCATGGAGTCATATTTATCATATCTATGTTCCATGAATTTGATTTTAGCAGGACAGAAGCCCTTATAGATCAACATATTAAGTTGTCGTAGATGAACAGGTTCCGGCCGTTCTAACAATTGTTAGAAGTATGCATTATGTAGCTAATTCCAAACAGACAACCTGTGGTTTTAGACCATATAAATTCATGATAAGCTGCTTAGAAGGAGATTACGAATAGAGCAGCCTCGCCTCTCATTCCTTTTTTCCTGTCATTTTGTGGTGACGACATTTCTACGATCTCCTGTTCTTAAGTAGGATTTCGAGGAGGGCTTAATATTTCTTTTATTGCTATCAGGTAAGCAGTCTTACTACCATTTATTTCACGCAATACATAAGGTTTTAGGTTATGAAACTGGCTCATTCATATACAGGCAGTTGGTATTTTCTTTTTAAAACGCAATTGTTTTTGTTATCCTTGTCTGGATAAGCAGGGTTTTTTGATTGAGTGGTCCATTTTTCTCCACGTATTTTGTCCTTGGCAGTCTACGACTGAGATGGTGAACTCCAGTTTCTTATTGTGGATATTCCCGAAAAAGGTATATCCTTTTTGGATACATATGGATTCTAGCTGACAACCAACGTCTCTCGATAGAAAATACTTTCAGACTGGCAGTCGCCATTCGAGATGGAAGCACCCGTAGTTATGCGTCTTTCGTTAGCCAGTTGGATAACTTCAGGATTAGATTGTATTTCCAGAGCACCAGGTGAGTTCCCTCTAGTATCTTTGCGGTGAACGAAGACTTGGTGAGGATAAATAATCAAACGTTTGATTCAAGATTATAGATTTTACTTCGTTAATTATGAAGACAGCATATTAAATACTGTAAGATCCAAACTATGGTTTGGACTGCCGGACAGCTGTCTGGATGAGTTAGATACGCGCCCTCGCCCGTTTGAAACCAAAACAAAGTAATTGGGTAAGATGACGGTTCTATAATTTTTCATAAATTTAAGTGTACATTATTACCTAAACAAATATAACTACTCAGCTATCCAACCAATAGTTGTTCAATTGATCAAATTTAAACTACAATAAATAAGAAAGTTGATACAGGATGCAAGAAAATTACCAATCACCACAAATAACTGTTATTCCATCCTGTCTGGATAGATCACGTGCAGATTCGTTCAAAAGGTAGTAATTGGTCGCTCTATAACACAGAGTGTTTTCAATTCTAGAAGAGTGCTTCAATTCACAAACAAAATGCACAATTCCAGTCAACACAGGTCAAGTAATCAGAAGCAGGGATAAACCAAAATGGCTGTCGCCCAGACTTAGTATAAAGTAAAACAACATAAGTGCAGTTCGGGAAGAAACATGGGGAATCAGTGAAGGTGTAGTAAAACGAAAATTATAATAAAATACAAAATTCAAATTTAGCCAAAAAGTTAACAATGTACAACTAAGAGGATCAATAGGAACAAAGTGCAAGTATATACATGGAGGGATTTTCACAAACACACAAAGCATTCAAAATGGATCTTACAAATACTTCATTCGCACAACTTCCATCAACTGTCTATTACAATCTTCATCGTTTCTTTATTCCAGTTGTTACTATAAATGCTCGCTATTTACATTCCTATTGTCTTCAGTTCGATCTTCTCAACATTCTTCTGCCAGGCATTCCGCTTCTGGTCGGCGTTGCACACTAATTGTATCTATGAATATAAGTAGCATATATCACACCTGGGTTTCGGGGCACAATCGAAAGTGATCTTTGTTATTTTAACTCAATTATCTGGAATTTAGAGGTTGTCTTCAATATCCTTTCTGCGAATCTGAATTGTACTTAGGAAGGCTACAATGGGGGTTGACACTGAGGTGCCCAGTTGCAACATATCCCCACTGATGCTAATGTTTAATCAACAAACCCTCGTCATTGTCTCACTATGCTTCTACGTTTAGTTGTTCATCGAGTGGCTGTTTTCTCTTCGTGTCGTCGAAAGATTTTCCCGCAACTCAGTCAGACGACCTTAAGTTCAGGAATGAATGTGAAACAGCTAATGCTAATTCGGGTGAGATTAAGTGAGTGCTTATGTTTGGCTTGCTCCCGTGAGGGTACTTTTCAGTTCTATCATCCTTGTAAGTCGTGATGGGTGACGTTTGTCGCTCACTGTTTTTTCGTCGGCATTATAATTCTCCTTAAGTTATTGATGTATAAGTTTTCTGTAATGAACTTCTTTCCTAATAATGTTTATGTCGACACTGGAGGTGAAGTGGTCCGAAGATGAAGGACGCTATAATGAATTCTATTAATGAAACTACAGTTGAGAGAAACGTTAAATGAGCTTCTTTGGAATTTTCGCTCTGATTCACCATCACTATCGTATTTCAGTAAAGTAGTAAGTCTATCAAAATAAATGTTTTCCGCCATAATTATATACTATCAATCTTTAATCGTTTTACTCGTTAAGACTTCCCCACCAAATGTGTAGGTTATGAGAAGTGTGGCTTCCGAAGGGCTAAGGCTAAACATTGAGCTGTTGTGAAGTATTTTATACTATTCATAAGTATTATATAAATGTTTATGGATCCTTAACGTATTCAGCACGGACACTGTCTCAGTGAGGAGATTTATAAGTAAATAATTGCGTTATTGGGTTTTTCATTACTAGTGTTGAGACCATCTCGACTTTGACATGACTCCGTGACTCACTCAAATAATTTGAGTTACGTGGTGTAGCCCTTTATCGGTAAGATTAGGAAATATAAGGCAAGTAGCATTTATGGAGTTCAATTATGAGGTAGATGCATTCTCAATTGTCTATGGCCGTTTGCATAGTATAAGGGCTTCATTGTAAGCTTTGCTAGTGTTTTATCCAATAAACTTACAAAGATGAGTTTCATCTAGGCTGGTCAAAGTGCACCGAAGAATGGCGTATTCCCTGTAGTAAATGTGATGCAAGTAACCACTTTTAATCTAGTTAATTCCTGAATCACTCTACCAACTGAGATAGTCTACTTACATTCCTCGGAGTTGTTTGGGAGGAAAATTTATATTTAACTAGAGGCCTCATAAAACATGTCACACTGATTTATCATACAATTCTTTGAGGACATTGGTGAGCTAATCAAGATGACGTACGTGATTTTGGTGACAACATAGTAACCAATAACACCTTGCGGTTTGAAAAATCAAAACCTGAATTTCACGAACCATGGTAAATTATCCTTCAAAATTCAAACATTAATAATGTTTCGGTCTCAATGCCACGTCGTTCTGTCATAACCCATGTGGTTTCCGAAGGTCAACCTTCTGCTTTTAGCGGCTTTTTAAGAGCGTACGAATGATTCAGACAGATGCAGATATTGCAAGTGTTGAACTTTATACTCTACGCCCGACACTACTTCACGGATATGTTTTACCATTCATACTTTTTTATTCTATTTGGATTGGATACTGGACCAATATTCTTGGTTTTCAGGAGTATATGGAATTCGGTCTCATAGTTATCGCAGCCATTGGATTTGTACAAATAATTGTCTGTCTCTGCTGTCACTGGTTTGTTGAATTTAAGTGTCTTATGACTTGCAAAAAAGTAAGTGTTGGTATAAAAGGCGAACCTTTCCCAGCAATCCAGTGTTGCGGCGTCTGAGTATGTCAAGGTAGTTCCGACCCCTAACACAGGTTATCCAATGATCGTTAAGATTGAAAAACAAGAGGTTAGAATGTTGTTTACCGATTTAAACATTAAATTTAGTGTCGCTCCTCCGGATTTATACACGCCTTTCATTTCCAACGATTAAAGTATGTATTTAGGACTGACGAGAAAGACAGTTTCCATCCGACCGAATTTCCAGTTGATTGGAGTATGAAAGCATATCTTAGTTGGAAGGGTTATGAGACGGTTGATCATCAGGTTGAAGCACAGCGTAAATATGGATTGAATGAGTAGCACTGTTATATACTTATTAACTGTCAGACTCCATTTAGATGTTCCATCTTTCGCTGAGCTGTTCAAAGAGCGTGCAACTGCCCCATTTTTTGTCTTCCAAGTATTCTCAGTTGGGCTGTGGTGTCTCGATGAATATTGGATCTACCCACTGATTGCTTTGGGTATGCTATGCCTCTTTGAAGCCAGCTTAGTACAACAGCAATTAAAAAATCTATCTGAAATACGCTCTATGTCTGAAAAGCCATACAACATCTATGTAAGTGCTTTTTTCAATAGTATTTTTGATACCACGGTAAAATTAGGGTTTGTTGAGTGTGTTATGTGGAAGTTTAAGTGTTCCAATACTAGCAGTTATTAGATTGTGAGCAGTTTGTTTCATATATGACAAGTTTCTGTTTTATATGTTTGTACAAATTCATTTCGAGTCTTTATGGAGCAACAACGTTGGTACTGCATTGTTAAAGCTGTACATATAGATTTGTCCGATATTTGGAATTATATATTTTTCATCTGGTCTTATATGTTTTAGTTTGTCCAATAGAGGGTATTTGTTAAAGCATTAAGATTTCAACCAGTGATCGTAAATCCAAGCTCCGTCCTATTTACTGCGGTTTGGTACTCGACTAATGTAAGTAGCCTCTACAAAAAAGGCGTATTTCAAGACCCAGTACGTTAACTTGGACTTGGTAAGTAGTTTTTCCCTTAAAGCAATATGTAGCTCGCAAACCATGAGAAAAAATTCTCCAGTGAGTCTGTTTTGCATGCGGTGTGTGTATATGTGTATGTATATATGCGTTGTCACAAAATTGATAGATAGTCATGTCACAACTAGGATTTTATCTCTAATCATGTACAGTTTATAGATAGCTGGGCTAAATTTTTGTAACTTACTGTGTATAAAATCTTAAAGGTTTATCGTCAAAAGAAGTGGGTACGTGTACGGACGGACCAGTTGATCGCTGGTGATATTATTTCTATATCTGAGAATGATCAAAAATTCTGCATTCCTGCTGACTTACTCCTTTTAAGGGGTACATGCATTGTGGACGAATCAATGCTCACTGGAGAATCAGTTCCTGTTAGCAAAGTGAGTCAATATTCGTTTTTGTTAATGTTAAGATTTTACCTTAATTAGTATTATGCCTAATAAGCTGAGTGTGCTGGTCTTTACACTCTCGTACTCTATTTTTTTCTGCTAATTGTAACTCAAGAGGAATTAAATATATGTTCTACGGAAAGACGCCTATATGCATTGTGTGTTGCGGGTAGTTTTAACACTGTCAGATAGATTAGACAAAGGTAAATGCTTTGTTCCATCGACTACATGTCTTAGTCAACCATCAATCATAACTAATGAGGGAATTTGTCCAATTGTATACTGGTTGAAGTTTTCACACCACATCAACATAATGAGCTATATATATGTATTTGAATAAAGCTAGATTGTATCATCCATATTCTATTACTTTCCTGCCCACTGTTGCCCGTCATACTAGAGGTTTATAGTGAACAATTAACACTTTTGTGATATGCAGGATTTACTACAATTACATTTACCGTAGTCACTAGTTTTGTTTTTCTGACTTATATTTTTTGAGTAAACGTCTCATTAAAGAAAACATCAGGTCTATTTTAGGACGTTTTTACTTATAGGATCCTTGTGAGGTTCTCAAAGCAGATGAACACTTTACGTTCGATGATGATCATAAGACCCAGATTTTGTTTGGTGGAACCAAAGTAGTACAGTTTACTCCCCCTTCTAAGTCTACAAATTCCCTAAAAGGTTTGTTACATTTTTGACCGTTTTCATATTCCATCTTTATTTAATACGATTTTCTATAAATTACCTACATATTCAGATCTAGTTTATGTGTAGGGATTCACACCAAAAATGTAATAACTTAAGGTACAGTAAGTACTTTACGGTTGATATATTGTTCATTTAATACATAAGTGTTTCAAGAATATTATTTATAAGAAAAACTATTTCTATCAGGTTGAAATTAATAACATTATTTTCAACCATAAAAACAGTAACGTAGAATTTTCTTTACGCCGATAGGAAATAAAATGACTCGAATTAAAATATTCAGCCTTAAAAAAGTATTTTTATTTAACTCAGATAGCAGAAACAGTGCATACTTTCAAATAGAGACTTCGTTTTCTTACCCATGAGCGAAAATAATATCAGCTTTATGTATTGCGCTCAGATTAGGATAACTGAATATAAGTGAAGGTGTTTATTTAATATTGATTTGATTTCTCGTGATTGAATTTATTTTATAAGTTATGTCCATCTGTTGGTGTGGGGTTATTTAACTTCTGATTTCCTCTTAAAGTATGATGTTCAATAAGATTAAATCCTTATTGCAGTTTAATGACCTTGTATCTGACTCCAGGTCGATCGTATGAATGATCATTATCGAATGATTGCTGTCGAAATATACATGTCTCCAATCCTCGTATACAATCATCGGCTTAAATCGCGTTAGTAAATAATGGAATTAAATAAGTCAAATACGAAAATGGATTTCGAATATATGTGTTGCATACAATCATTGGTCCAGACAAACGATAAGAGAAACAAACCGAAACGAAATGACGCACAAAGGAGAACGTGTGTGAGCCAGCTCGATTTAGTCGAGCGTTGATCGATATTTATAGCCGGACAAACCAAAACGTGGCACAAGTCCATGAAGTCACTGACAAGTGGACTGAGTCATGTTAGTAGGTGCAGACTACCTGGTTGGGGACCGCGAGATGATAGCAACCGATGGTTAGAGACCCTGAATGACATGGCTCAAAATCGTTTGCAATGGCGCAGGTGCATCCACTCTCTGTGTTCTCCCAAATTCTAATCTTCTGAATTCTTCATGTCCCTTTTTTCCTCTTTCCAAATTTATTTCACTGGATTATACTCCTTGAATAACATCTCCAAACCCTAATCTTCCCGATTACTGCTTATACTCTTATTACCTCTACCACTACGGGATTTGAATCGACCACTGCATCTCTGTGCTAATGTGGTGTGGCAACTCGAACTGATGTACGTACGTACGGAGTTCTACGTTGTTACTGACTGACTGACTGACTGCCGGACAAAATAATTTACAGGCATGTGATGAGTAAGATAAGAAATGCACACACGCTTACATAAAAATAATCAAGGTTGATAAGCGAATGATTAACAAGGTCAAAATGTAGCTTGAGTAGAATGGATAAATTGGTTTATCCCGAAGCTAGACTAAGCTATGTGGGCTCGACATAGGACCAGCCACTACAGCAGTATATATAGTGGGCTAGTAGCTTATTCGTCAAAGTAGTCGACTTTCAACCATTGAATTGCACATTTGAGCCCCACTTCACTGCTTTCTGAACACTTAGGTAGTGTTATTAGTCCGAAAAATTCTATGGCAGTGTCTGTACCTCAGAAGTACATAAACCTTGTGAAACCTCTTTACTCAAACACTACCAGTCGAGTCAGAGCTTATGGTAAACTGCCATTTGATTCAGCAGCCTCAAGTGGTGTCCGACAAGACAGTTCACTATCTCCATTTTCGTTCAACTTCATCATAGACCCACAGCTGGAAATAGCGTTCTCGTCGACTGAATTTTCGAGCATTGGTTTTCTACCAGGACGTTTACTTATTGACTTAGAATACGCAAATAACATAGTCTTGTTTGGTGAAGACACTGATAAAATGCGGAGTATTTTGGTAGCGCTGAGTAACAATGCCAGGATGTTTGGGATGAGTTCCTGCCTTTCTAAATGCAAATTATTGCTTCAGGACTGGTCTGCGTCAACACTTGAACTAACGATAGAGAGTAAAGTAGTCGAACGCGTCGACAACTTCACTTATCTTGGAAGTCTGATCAGCCCTAATGGGTGGTGCCTGACGAAATCTTTGCATGGATTCAACAAGCTCGTTTGACTTTTGCCAACCTACATCACTTATGGCGAAGGTGAGGTATCCGTTTATCAATTAAGAGACGAGTATACTGCGCAGAAATCTGTTCTGATTTACTTTACGGCTGAGAAACGTGACCATTGGGTGTAGAGGATACTCGTAAGTCACTAGTATTTGATCACAGATGTCCTAGAAATATTGCTTGCATCTGCTGGGATTACCGGGTGAGTAATATTGATGTTAGACGCGGGGTATTAGGAAATGACGGTGAATCAGTCGATGAGGTTGTGAATCTTCATCGACTGAGATGGTTGGACCACGTGTTGCATATTACCGCCGCGTGCAATGCTGATTAGTGCTGGGGATGGTTGGGAAAAAGTTAGGGGCGGCCAAACCAGAACTTGGCATCAGTCCTTGAAGCCACTAACTTCTGGTCTGAGTCATGTTAGTAGATGCAGACTACTTGATTGGGGTCCGCGTGACTTTCGTAACCAGTGGTTGGAGACTCTTGGTGACATGGCTCAAAATGGCGTAGGTGTATACACCATTTGTCTTTTCTTAAACCGTGAGATTAAAATTACTTTATGCCCTTCTTTCTACGAACTAATTCTTTCTCCCCGTATCACATCCTTTTATGCTGTCTTATATATATTACTGCCATTGAAGTAACTACTTTTGTGAATTTTTCATCTTGTGCTATTGAGGTATGGCAACTTGGACTAATGCATAAATGTGCCTAGTCCTACATTGTAGCTAGCTGACTGACTGTCATTAGTCCTCGTACTGAGTGTCGCTTAAAGCTGCGCGCACAAACGTTTACTTGATAATAAGGTTGCATTTATAATAATAATAACAATATTAATAATGGAAATTTTAAGCGTATTTGGATTTTTATTTTCGAATTATTGTTAAGGCTAATTTAACTCATGTAGTTGATGAAGTTCGTAGATTTTCGTCACATTTGACTTTGGATTTGTCGTAACCTATTTTTAATCTTTTCTCAGCACCTGACAATGGTTGCATCTGCTTTGTACTTCGTACGGGTTTGAGTACTTCACAAGGTCGTTTACTGAAAACTATAATGTATAGTGTAAAGGCCGTTACAGCAAATAATGCTGAAAGTTTTCTTTTCATAGCCTTCTTACTTATTTTCGCGTTGATTGCATCAGCCTATGTCTGGATAGAAGGTAGGTCCTTTTTCACAATAAAAAGCTGTTGTCTGCCTTTTGTATTTTTTATGTGGGATTAGATACTTTACTTTTCCATTGCAATCATTGAGTGATTTGGTGATATTTGCCGAATCTTTGTGTATTAAAATGTCATGAGTCAGTAAATCAGGCATTTTTAAATGTTTATAGATGTTTTGTAGTGTTCCACGTGATATAACTTTTCATGCTTAAATCTTATTTAGAATTGCCAAATAGGTTCTCTAGTCGATAACTACAAGAAAGTTTCTGGTTTCGTATATGTTTCATACAATTATCACTTCACCACTCGTGCGTGATTTTCATCCTCTCAGTTCTTAAAACTTATGCATACTCTTCAAATTTTGTATAATGATTACAAGGTTTATCTTACTATTTTCCAAATTCTAGATAATTACTGCCTCGTTTCCTTTATATTTGTTATGTCTTAAAATGACTTTATGCAATATCTTTATAGTGCTAATGACCTGCGCCATTTCAAATTTTCAACCACCAGTATTTTTCATTTAGCATTATGTCTTATTTTGATACGAATGCGCTACTAAGCAGCTGATAATAAACCACAGACTAAAAGTGAAACCATATTGTTTTACGTCAGTCGTCGTCCTTGGTTTGTCTAAATTCATAAAGGAAACTAATTATATGGAGCATAATCAGGAAATAAGTGTATTAACAAATTACTTTGAGGATACCCGGATCAGGATGCTAACAAGACACAAGGGCCACAGCGATCTAATTTTCCAAATTGTACTGTCTAATATCTATTGTCCCATTGCAAAAGATCTTTTTAAGACGAATAGTGTGGTGGAGGGGTGGCGTAAATTTCCCGTCTTATCTATTATATTTAGTCAGTATATTGGTGATGTTATTTTATTACTTTATTAAATCCGCCTTTTGATGCTTGTGTCGTCGTGGTTTTTTTACCCAACCTTTTATTAGAGGATACTAACTGAAAATCGATTAGTCATTACCCACAGGCTTATATTAAGACCAAAGGGTCAGAACTAATTAAAAGTTAATAATCCAAAGTGATAATACAATGACGTCAATTTTAACGTCTCAATCTACTTTGTAATATCAAGACCAGTTTCATTTTTAATAATAATTAACATGTCTTCCCAGTAGATATCATGTTATTTTCATTTTACTGCTACTGTTTCTATACGAGTTGTTTTTTATCAGAGGACGTTTGTTAATTTTCATCCTTTATAAACTGTGTGGGAAATTCACTAATACATCGAAAACATTAATGTCTAATCTAGTTAGTAGAATTATAGATACAAATGTAAAATACTGCTGACTCGAATTTTTCAATGGTAAATAGATCTTTTTTGAACTACTATGTATGATATTTCGGTTGTGAAGGTTTAGATCTTTCTGTTGTTAATGTTAAAGACTGCAGTTGATCAGTCAGTTTTAGCATATGTGCGTCCTGAGCCGATTGCCTCTATATTGAGAATAAATCAGAGGTATTTTTAAGCAAAGTTGGATAGTGGCTAGTAGTTGAATTAATCGATAATGAGGAGATTCAAACCTTTACAACTGAATTATTATTCATCCCCGTTACACAAGTTAATGGCTGTCTGAACTCAGTAGCTAGGTGAATAGTGCGTTGGGTATTTGAAACGGAAGGCACTGGATTCGAGTCCCTCAGCGAACACTAACATACGCAGAGGTATCGAGCTGACAAGTCCCTAGAAGGGCGTAACATGTGTTCTGAGTTTCATTTCTGAACGCCAACGTTGTTATAGATAATATCTAAATACTCAATATCAATATTAAAATTATTTTACTTCTTAAACATATGGTATAGGGATATTTTATGTATGCAATAATTTCTGAATGTGTCACCAATCAATAAGCTTTGTATTCAATTTAAATATCTTTTCGAACAGGTACAGCTGATCCCCGTCGGAATCGATATAAACTGTTTCTTGAATGTACTCTCATTCTAACATCTGTTATTCCACAGGAACTCCCACTAGAATTGTCTTTAGCCGTGAATTCATCTTTGATTGCATTGTGCAAACTTTGTAAGTGTTATATTTTGTAACTGTTTAATCTACATACTAGTTGAATTTAATCTCATACTTATGAAGATTTAAATGTTGTTTAGTTTGCGATCTACTTAATAAATAAACTATTTTAGTGGAGATAAAGGTTTTATTGTTTCCTCTCCGCGTAAACTAATTCCTACTTTAAATGTAGAACCGAATAAAAGGCAAATAAAACAAGCACGTCAAATCAAAAACCAAATTAACTCATTCGCTGAGTCCTTGGGTATGAGTCAAACTCTAGATGTATGGGTTAATGATATTACCCATTTGGTTAAATCACAGGTGGATCCATGTTCAAACCTGGGAACTACTGGATTTAAGTTGAACCCTCCAACCACAACTTCATCGCTCCATGTGCACATAAGATATCTAAACTGTTTATATATTCTTAGTACAATTAATTTCGAGTTTCAAGTTGTTCATTTTGTGAATTTAGTTCTGTTGAGTTTCGATACCTAAATAGGACATCAGACAAACCTAGACCTTTGGGTGTAGTTTGTTGAACAGTGATTTGTACAATAGGAAGTCAAATCATGATCGCTAATGGGTTGTATTTTGAGCGTTTTCTGATGCTGCTTCTTAGTTATATTAATTAATTAATTTGTTGGCTTGATTTCATATATCACCCGTTAATGTAACACGAACTTCCTCTTTCGGAAAACCTTGTTCTTATTTATTTTATTTGTTAATTTGAACACATAATTATTGGTACAGGAGGGCACCAAATACATATGCGTCACACAAAACAACGAGAATGGGAAGAGAAAAAATAGAAGGTAGGGAGAGTAAAAAAAGAACAATAACGACCAAATTAGTGTAAGGTAGTGTAATAATAATAATGATAATAATAATAATAATAATAATAGGGAAACGGAAAGGTACAACCAGGAGAAATCTTTCAGTTAAGGAAGGTACAACCACCTTTTATGAAGAAAGTAAAAGAAAATTACAGCATGATCGCCACTGGATTCTATTCTGAGCCATATCTGATAACGTCTCTAGCCATTGTGTAGCACGATCTCTCGGACCCCAGCCAGGGAGTCGTGAAGGACCAGCGTAAGCTAGCCCTTAGCAACTTTCTTTCATACCACGACACCATGTCATATACTGACCACCTTTCCGCTTTTTCCAACCAGTCCCAGAGTCGGCAAATAATGCACGACGTGGAATTCTCTGGGACGACATTCGTAGAACATGTCCAAGCCACCGAAGTCGGTGTTTCAAGATGGTGACACCGCTTGCATTATCATCTCTGTGCCCGAACACACGATGCCGAACCTCTGCATTACCAACATGGTGTTGTCACTGGATGTCGCCAATCCTTCGGAGACAGCGATGATCGAACACAGAGGGTCGTCTAACGTCCTCAACTCGGAGTGGCCAGGTTTCACAAGCATAGAGCAAAACTGCTCTCACCGATGCGTTGTAGATCCGACCTTTTACCTTTAACCGGATCCCAAACCAATGGTGCACATGGGCTCCAGTATCCTGAGGGAACAAATGGCGTATGAACCAATCGTTGGTCACCAGCTACCATGGGACTGCATCTCCTCACGACGATCCACTGCCTTGTGAGTCAGACATTCAGGTCAAAGGCTCAGGGTGTGGCCCCCTAAGAAAACCACCTGCTTTGGTCCGGGCACCTGGGCAGTATCACAGCCCATAAATAAATAAAATGAAAATGACTATATTTACTGAAAATTCTATTCTCGCTTCGATTTAAAGTCAAACAATTCATATTATTATTATTATTATTATTATTATTATTATTATTATTATTATTATTATTACACTACCTTACACTAATTTGGTCGTTATTGTTATTTTTTACTCTCCCTACCTTCTATTTTTTCTCTTCCCATTCTCGTTGTTTTGTGTGACGCATATGTATTTGGTGCCCTCCTGTACCAATAATTATGTGTTCAAATAAATAAATAAAGCTCCAGTCATTTGCTTTTCGTCCTATCAATTTCATAAACAACACCCCGGATACGAGAATGCAGTGAGTAGGACTTCCCTGGTGGAGGTTGTATACGCGTGGCTGTGTGAGAGCATTTCGAGAGGGAGAGCGGACTCTCCCCACTCGACCGTACCAGGGCATTTGGGTGTAAGTAGGAAGTATACAAATAATAACAAGGTAATTAAAAGATATAAGTTTAAGTCTTACGATTGATTAAATTTATTTTATCTTGTCAGTTGTAATTTATTTACACTGTAATTTATTTTCTAGTGGTTTATTGTACTGAACCTTTTCGAATTCCATTTGCTGGTAAGATTGATATTTGTGCCTTTGATAAAACTGGTACTTTGACGGAAGATATTGTCGTAGTTGAAGGAGTTACAGGTTTAAAGTAAGTCAATAGTCGGTGGTTTTGGTGTTTGGGTTTTACTACATGTTCTTTTATCAACTGTGGGTATATCGTACTCAGGGATTTATGCCGTTTTGATGCTCTTATGTAGATTGCCGGTAATCAGTTGATATTTAAATTTCAAGGGACGTCTTCGTGTTTTCTTAGTACGAATTTGTCATTGCTTGGTGATAATATTTGGTTGTAAGTTTAATGATTCGACTATTGTTTATTACTAATAATAAAGGGACTCAATCTATATGGATTTATGATCCATATGCAACCTACATAAAAAGTGAACATCTCGAGTGCCTTTACATCCATACAATATTACCTCTATTCAGGGATGGTATAATAGACTCGCTCTCGTCAATGGAAAGAGATTTAATTACTGTCTGAAGGTATTTCCTTCAAATGCCTTTATTTTATAGAATGGCAGCCAGGATCGATCTCTGCTATGTTTGAAGAGATTATGAATCTACTTAGTCTGCGGACGGAATGAAAACTCTATGTCACAATGTGTCCCAGCCTCGCTAACTAAAGATGGAAGTCCAGATTCAGAAGAGGGAAATGTATTCACAGGCAGCCAGAAGCACGAACAACAAGTACGGCCCAAGCGTATAAGTACAGGATAAAAATATCCCTGGGAAACGTCACAAAATAGCATATTAAAAGGGTCAACGAATCAATGACATCTGAGGCCCTCCCAAGTGGGAAATGCAACGTGGAGGTGAAAATGGGCGCTTTTGGTGCGAAAACAAAAAATTCACATTTCCCAAATAAAATTGCAAAAATATGACATTTACTAAGTGAGTTCTGGGGATCTAGCATCCCCAACCATCAATTTCACATATAAAGGTATAAGTCAGCATTTTAAACTTGTGTCGTTCAGCAATATGGTATAGTTTCACTGCCTATAAATGGACCGGTTTCATTTACTATCAAGCATAAATTTTCGTTGTCAGCGCGGTATTTCGCTTCTTCATAATCTTAATCATGGAATACTTTATTCATATGACAGTCTCATGAACCATAAGGCGCAAATTTTCTTAGTCCCTTCTTAGAGATTGTGATTGATTAATAACTGTAAAGCAAATCTTGTAAAGATGTTGAAAATCCTTTAGTGGATCGGTAGCTCAGAGGTTGGGGGGGGGTGGCCCAACCTCCAGTCGCTTAGACGCTGGTTCGAGCCCCACTTCATCTACTTACGGTATGGGCAACCAGATAGTATCACTAGATGTCACACAGTATAGCTTGAAGCTAAGTACATGAATCTGTACCTGGTAAATTATATATATACTATTTTACATCACAACTTAATAATTTTTAATTACATTGGGTGTGTGAGGGCTATGCGGACTACGTAGATAGAAAGTTAGGAAGTTTCTTCCTACCTTTATGAAGGATATACAAGAAAGCTACAAAGAAATCTCAACTGGCTTTTACCATGAGCCATGTTTATAACGTCCCATATCATGTATCGTCCTTTGGACCTCACACAAATACCATCTTGATATGCCATCATTCGATGTTGCGTTTACTGCTCCTCTCGTGTAGGCCTTACTCGGTTCTTCAGGATCCCGAGAAAGTGAGTGGAATTAGAGCGTGCAACGGTCACCGTTTGATGACGTTTCTTTACAGTGTACTATTTTGTGAATTAAACCTCTGGATCAAAGGCTCATGAGTGATCCCCCTAGAAAATCACCGGTTTTAGCGTTTTAGCAATATCCGAGTCTCTACACAAATAGCGATGGTTACCAATAAAGGAGATTATTCGATAGCTAGAACTGTGTAAATCTGCTCGTCATCGTTATTATGCGTTCATATATAACTTTTAGATATAGGTTTCAGTATCTCTTCTTCAAACTGATGGTCTTACTATCCCACTTCCTTTTACTCATGGAGTTCATGCAGTTCGTCCCGTCCTACTTTATGGCAGTGAAACATGGCCGGTAAGAGTAGAAGATATTCATAGGTTACTAGTATTCGATCATAGGTGTCTTCGAAACATTGCTCGTATATCCTGGGACCATCGAGTAAGTAACACAGTTGTTAGGAAACGGGTACTAGGTAAGGATGGCAAATCAATTGATGAAGTAGTGAAACTTCATCAGTTGAGATGGTTGGAACACGTGTTACGTATGCCCGACGACCGACTGCCTCGACGTGCTATGCTTTATGGTATAGGAGTAGATTGGAAGAAAGCTTGGGGCGGCCAGACCAAAACATGGAACAAGTCCATGAAGTCACTGACAAGTGGACTGAGTCATGTTGGTAGGTTGGGGACCACGAGATGATAGCAACCGATGGTTAGGGACCTTGAATGACATGGCTCAAAATCGTTTGCAATGGCGCAGGTGCATCCACTCTTTGTGTTCTCCGAAATTCTAATTTTCTAAATAATTCATGTCCGTTTTTTATCTTTCCAAATTTATTTCACTGGATTATACTCCTTGAATATCATCTTCAAACCCTAATGTTTCCGATTACTGCTTATACTTTCACTACCTCTACCACTGCGGGATTTGAGTCGACCACTGCATCTCTGTGCTAATGTGGTGTGGCAACTCGAACTGATGTACGTACGTACGAAGTTTTACGTTGTTACTGACTGACTTTACTCATGGAATTTTCATGTATTTGTGTGTTATTTTCTTTCAGTGATCAACCATCAAATAAATTGCTACAAGTAAAACAATGTCCACTATCTACCATCCAAGTGTTAGCTAGTTGTCATTCTTTGATAAATACTAGTGCTTCTGGTCTGATTGGTGATCCTATGGAAAAAGCTATGTTAGCATCGACTAGTTGGTCGTTGAATGATCAGAATGAAGTATATGGACGTACTATACCACGTAGTTCTCCATTGAAAATATGTCAAAGGTAAGTAAATGCTTAGTAACGCACTATATTTTTATAATCATCATATTGCTATTCAATCTATATTTTCCTGTAATTTGAACTAAACATTTTTACAAAAATAAAACAAATTTAGGCATTTCGTTTATTGTAAAGCGTTAAATATTGATTGATGTCGTAAGTATTATATACATTGTCTATAACAGCATTTTTAAGCACATCTTTCAAACCTTTTGTTTTCCAAAACATATCCTGTAATGTATTAATGTTGTGGCGAAACATATCTTTGCTGAAAGTTTGTATAAGATGTTGAGTTTACTACCTTCATTATATGTGTATCTATGCCTGCAATAACTTTGGATTCGCTTTATGCTATGTTTCGTTATTCTCCTTTTTTTAAAAGAAATTCATTTAATAAAATATGTAAATGATAAAATACTACATAGTCACGTCTGTTTATATTCATATCCTAGATATGAACCAATGTATGTTATGTCGAAAACAAAGAGTGAGTAAACAATACCATTTGCTCGCTCAAACCTAAGTTCATTAATAATATTCCAGGTACAGCTCCTTGTACTTGACTCTGAGTCATATTTCTGATCTCAAGGTTAACAATATCACTTGGGTGCCAAATCGAATTGAGTGAAGCTGGATTTGAACTTATAACTCATTTATTAAAACAGTGTTTTAGTCATTAAGTCACAGTTTCATTATCGTTTGACTCATTTTTCCATAAAATAGCTTATAAATTGTCTTTTGTCTAAAGCAGTACATTCTATAACTGGAAATTGTGTTGTAAAAAAAGTGAGAGCATATCCATTTTCTATTAAATGGTAACAATTCTTTTAATATAATATTCAACAGTGCTATATATAAGTTTATAAAAACCAAATAAATATTCGATTTTCTTAAAATCAAAGTAAAGATATATCGATTCATTATCATTTTTAGATTTCGATTCGATAGTACACTACGTCGTATGTCTGTTGTAGTTAGCCATTATCTGCCGTCTAGCGTAGATCGAAATTACTTGGTCTGTGTCAAAGGATCACCAGAAACTATTCTCCCAATGCTTGTAGATGCACCACCAGACTATGAAGAAGCTTATCTTACTATGGCTAGACGGGGTGCTCGTGTTTTAGCTTTGGGACAGAAGACCTTAGGTCAACTTACACATGAGCAGGTTGGTTTGTTCAATTTTTTTTCGATAAATATTCATCATTGTAGAGTTAATGTTTACTCAAATAAATCTATTTTGTTAATTTAGAAGATAAATCACCCAATCTTTGAAATACAGCAGCCATATAGGGTGTGTGTGCGTGGCAATAGTGTATTGTTTAAAAACTAATTTCCTCTAATCTCGTGTTATTTTATCATGTTTATTTTGTGTTCATATTCTGTTTGTCAATTTATTGTGTGAAAAGCTTATTATTCTGGCTTGTGGTCTTGTATACGGGTTGTGGAGATTATTAAGTTTTTGATCGAGATCATGAACCGATTGATGTTAGACCACCTTTGGAAACCTGGAAGCACTTGTTTTTGGTTTCAGTTCATTGGGGGGTTCAAGTCAATAATTTGTTCTCTTGGGTAGGCATCCAATCAACTACTGTGGTATCATTTCATTTCATCTATCAATCAACATTCTATTCATTTCACTAATCAAAAATTCGTCTATTAAATAAATCACGCCACCACTTGGCCTCCGCTATAGCTCATTAGCAAAAATACTACGATTTAAGCTAAAATATTTGCTTGAAGAGTCATGATACTACTCATCTTCCCGAACAGGACTTTGTTTTATAGGGTTCAAAAATCCTATCGATACGTTTGATAGATGAGTCTCAAGTTAAGTAAATCAACGTAGGATCTTACTACTGATAAATACCTCAAAACTACTGAATTTTTTTATCAGCTTATCAACCACAATTTTTTGAAATTTAAATTGGTTCCCATAACCCCAAAGTCTTACAATTAAAATGTGGTCACCAAATCAATATTTTTATGTCTAGTTTTGTGTACATGATTTGTATTCGGTGAATATTGAGTAGTTTTCAGGGTCAAAAATACAGTTTCTCCCCCCCCCCCCAAAGTTACACAAATCTTCTGTTCACAATACTTGGTTGATTGTAGTCAATTTAAAACATTAGACTTTTAGTAAATATTCTTTTCTCTTACTTGTTTTCGTTTAGGTGAGAGATTTAACTCGTGAATCTGTTGAGTCGGATATACACTTTTGTGGTTTCGTCATTATTTCTTGCCCGTTAAAACCGGACTCTTTGACTGTGATAAAAGATCTTAGTTATTCCAGTCATCATATTAGTATGATCACAGGTGATAATCCACTTACAGCCTGTCATGTAAGCAGTATTGTGGGAATAGTTCGATCGAATGTTCCTGTACTCGTATTAAGTCCACCAAACGCATTACGTAAGTATATTTTTTTATCGTTATGATACTTATATTATATACGTATTATTTTTTACTATCATTAATACTACTATTAGTCAGTATTCGTCTCTTGCTGATTTCGTATGACAACTAGGACTGATTCACCGTTGATTATGACTGCTTGACTAAAAAAGGTGGTTGAATCTGATGAAATTCGGTAATTGATATAGTTTCAAACTCTAATTTTGTTGAGTATATAATTATTAAAGCATTTATAGCCTATAGATCTCGAAAATCATTCATCTAACAAAAATGTTTGATAAGAGTGTTATAAAAAATTTCTTTAGGTTGTTTAGTACGAAATTAGTTAAGGAATAGATTAACTATGTGAAAATATTAACCAGTTGTTAAACCTCATGCTAGTTATTTTCTTTACTTCGTTTTAACTTTATGTTAGTTTGAAGCTTGCTTTTCATTACGAGATAAAATCAGTTTTAAGTGCAACCAACTGGTTAATGCTTCTCAGTTAATTTTCACTGATTTTGTATTTTTATTTTGATGAAAATGAACTTCAAAAATTGAACAATGTCTATAAATCTCTCATGTATAGTAAGTGGTGAAGCAGCTGAACTCATCGACCGTTCACTTATTTTGAAAGTCTCATAAGCCTTGGTGGATTGGTGTGTGACAAAATTTCGGAATGGTTTCGGAAATCTCGGTTCGTTTTACCAACGACGTCACTTGTGTTTTAGGTGAGATGTCCGTCTTCACTCAAAAATGAATACACTGCTCATCAGTTCCTTGTGAAACATGATTTTTGGAGATAGAGCTTATTCGTAGGTGACTAGCATTTGATTACAGGTGTCTTCACGGCGTTACTTGTGTGTGATCGAACCATCGAGTGTTTAGTGCTAAGGTTAGACGCAGAGTGCAAGTTAAAAATGAGAGATCGATGGATAAATTTGTAAAATTTCGACTGAGTTGGTTCAGACATATTATGCATGCTTATCCGTCGCCTACCTCAACAGGCAATGATGTTGTTAGGAGTAGGTTAGAAGAAAGATTATGTACCATCAAACCAAAACAAGATATTAGTCTGTGAAGTCATTGACTGTTGGACTTAATCATGTAAGTAGATGCAGGCTATCTGGTTGGGTTCTGGACGATTATTGTAACCACGTAGGTTGATATTACTCAGAATCGTGTGCAATGGCAAAGGCATGTTGACCCTTCACTTAGATTCTAAGTTTCCTAATTATCCTATTCATTTTCTTCTATTCCATGAATCCATACCTTCTCAAATTATATCTCTCATTCCTAATTGTTTTTACTACCACTAATACTATTATCAAACATATATTATTGAATGGAAATATTTTTGTCATCACTACTACTTATGTTACTCTGTCATCTCGCTGTGTTTATTTGATGTGGGAACTTAAACTGATGCACCTTGAAGATGACTGACTGTGGTGAGTATAAGCAATTTTGATTATTGGAGAATATGATAAGTGACTTGATTTATGAAACTATTCAAAACATCGAATAAAGGAATCATTTTTCCGACGAGTTTTTCATGGCTCTACACTATATATGGTGAGTATATATATGCATATATGCTATGATGAAAATCTAATTGAAAAGAAACATTTCTTCACTCTACTCGTCTGACTGTCTGAATGGGGATTTTCACTTTAGTCAAAAACTCCCATCATTTTCCCATCAGTTATGATTTTTGGTTAATCTGGCTTCTTGTTTTCTCTCTCTTCCATGGTTTCTGAGCTTTAATGAAATAATTTATTTCTTGTACAGTTGTGAAACTATTTGACTTTGCTAGGAAATATAAAAAAGTCGCAGTGATACACTATGTCATCAAGTATTGTATTACTGCTGGAGAGTTTAACCAGGTTGAATCACTCAGGGGAGATATGATTTACTAGATTTAGCGATAAGTCCACGAATTATTATTGTATTTTGGTTGATTGAGTACAAGAGGTCATAAACATTGGTTAGTTACACGCGATCCAATTCTACTATTGTAGTGACAAAAATGACAAACTGTATTAAACCCCCTTATGTTTTGTTCCGTCTGTCACTGAAATTATCAGGCACTAATTTCAGTAGTTGTGGCATAAAATTCAGTGAATTTTGAAACTACCCTAATACTAAACAAGTTCATTTTGTTTTAGTACACAAACATTATAAATTACCATTTTGTTATTAAGGTAAAGTTACTTTTCTATACTTGTTTCTTCATTTTAGCACATAATCTCGATATGTTGTATTTGTTTTATGAAGGACGTAGGTTTTCTGTAATTTGATTAGGTGAGATCCCGACTGTTCAAGTCGATGAATAGAATACAAATCGACAGATGAATGGAATCATATAATGTGACCAGGTGATAGGTTCTTTTGAGACTGTACGATTGATTTAGGTCCTTGAATGACGCACTAGAAGGAAAAACAGACGGCACCTCCAGAACAAGCAGACATACGTCCTAGGTGATGATCAACCTGAAAACGGTGATAGATGGTTCAGTTTTAAGTGGACCCAAGAAAATCACGTTATTTAAAAGAGAGGTGTTAGGGATATGTAATCACAAATCACAACTTACGAGAAGAAAATCAATATCGATCAAGTCGAAATTCTGTTACAGTGAATTATTCTGTGTTAACATTGTCAAATGTTACATTTGAATATGGGTCATAGTTGAACTCGTTAATGCTATTCGCAATACCATTGATAAAGGATACAACACTGAAAGTTGGTGTACTAGATGATGCTGTTATTATGTACTTCGAGTTTGTCACCAACTAGATCAATTTTCTCTGCTGTTCCAGTAATAATTATAATTTAAAAGTATCCATTTTCATTAACTGTGTCGCTATTTTGTATGAATTCAAATAATTAATATTTCATTTTTTCGGCTCCAAAATCTCCGTTGTTAGTCGGTGCATTCGGGGACTGTACCAATAATTGCACTATTCCGATTTCAGTTTCGTGAACGGAACTACTTGTATTCTCTTTTTTTTCCATACCCCATTTACTGAGGGGAAAATACCAGGCTTTGTAGATGAAGCTTTTTTTATGTCGGCCCAGTGTAATCAATTCAGAATACAACAAGTCGATTATATATCAGTAAGAAACACAATGATTAAAATATTTTAAACTGAGTATTTGTCACATTAACATAGATCATCGCAAAAACGTATTGAAATCCCCTGAATAGTGTTCCCACTGAATAATGATTTGCTCTAACAGAATTTCATTCTGATCGATGTTGGTTTGTTTTCATAAGTTGTATTTGGCGATCGCCCATCCACAGCAGTTTGACTTTTAGTTTAATTCCATATACATAATACTTTAGAAAGTGAAAGCTTAGTACTTATATTCTTAACGAGGTGCATGATTGTTTGTTTATTGTCCTCCTCTTTCACTCTTCACTACTTTTTCATCTTAGACGAACAATGGCATTGGCAATCGGTTGATGAATCTGTTATACTACCTATGCTGGATGTGAATGCCAAGGATGCTAAGTCCAAACTTTCACAACTTATACAAAAGTATGATGTTTGTTTAACAGGCGAAGGAATCGATTATCTGTCAAAAACAAATTCTAGTTTTTTACGACAATTAATTCCAAAAGCTAAAATTTACGCTCGCGTTGCACCGAAACAAAAAGAATCTATACTAGTTCAATTGAAACGTATGGGATATATCACATTAATGTGTGGTGATGGGACAAATGATGTTGGGGCATTAAAACAAGCACATGTTGGTCAGTTTTCATCTTTTTTATTTTTCTATTCGTCTTTTTTATAAAAAAAGAAAGATTTTATTCTACTGAGTTTAAGGAGTAGTGATATCCCAGTGTTCAATTGATTTTATCATTCAGCTAGTTATTTATGAACAAGAAATTAACCTTGATATACTTCACACATTATTGCCTTTTACTTATTTTGTATCCCGTAGATGAGCATATAGGTTTATACATTATTTGATTTTAATTCATTTTTTATTTATTTAAGGGAGTTATATTGTACTATCTAGCTCGCCTAGCTAAGGTAAATAAAAAAGGCTTTTGAAATCTTTATGGAATTATTAATCTTTTTAATAAATTTAATATACATAGGATTCGTTTATTTCCACATTTTTGTTATGTACTAGGTGTCGCACTGCTTAATGAAACGAGTACATCTGTTTCTCTTGTGGAATCAACTGAGACTAAACAGGCAAGCCCTTCATCTAAGAATATACGTCAGAAAAATCATGGGGGTACTTTCAATCGTGCTAATCGTGGTGATGTTCACTCTACGAATGCTAATATAAATAACAGTAATCCAGCTGTACGCCCGTCATTCAATTTGCCTGCACTAGATACAGAACAAGAAGTATCAGTGGTTCGTCTTGGTAATGCTAGTATCGCAGCTCCTTTTACTGCTAAAATGTCTTCTCCTATTGGAGGTAAGTAAGGTTTACCTCTAATTTTCTCTACTTTTTAACAAATGAAATTCCCTTGATACTTTGATATCAAAAAGTTGTAAAAATAAACTCCCGTCAGTTAAATTTTAGAGCTATAAAAATTTACTCCTCACAACATTCAATGAAATAAAAATTGATCATAGTTAATATTTACTACTTTTGTATATGCAAATTTAATCCAAATTGTATACACACAATTCATTCGATAAGTTGATTTAAGACGGAACAACAAAGCTTATTATAGTAAGATAATTTTTTATGATAAGTCCTTCAGTCTCAAAATGTAAAGTAACAATAACATCCCTGTTTGTTTATTAGACTAAAAGGTAGGTAAACTTTTTTTTTTAATACACTAATGACATTACCAGGAACTCCAATCTTGAATTATACTCTGATATTCGAAAATATCGATCGTTAAATACTAAACTCGACGAAGTATGTCTTAACATTTCTGTTTATGTGATTCATACAACAATTAGTCAAATATTTTCAATATTTCAGATATCTAAACAAAACAACAACAAAAATTGGCACACATAAAACACTTCAACAGTTTGCGATCTTTTTGGTTATTTTTGAATTCATCATCATGATGAAAAAAGAAAGAACTCTTTTTTACCTAATAATTATCCGTGGATTATTTGATTTCATATTTAGATTTGTATATTTTTGTTCTCCCGAAATTTTCTCTATTTTTCATGTTTGTGTATTAATTATTATTTTAATTGTTCTGATGTATTTTCTATTTTATTTAGTCTGTCATATTGTTATGCAAGGACGTTGTACATTGGTGACTACATTGCAAATGTATAAAATTCTAGCTATAAATGCATTGATCATTGCTTATAGTTCATCAGTTTTATATCTGAAAGGTTTTAAAATATCTGATACTCAAGCAACTATTCGTGCTTTACTTCTATCAGCTTGTTTTCTATTCATTTCACGCTCTAAGGTATATATATATATTAATGATTAACATATTAATTGTGTCTTTTGTTTATTTTTTAAAATTGATATATTAATACCTAGTTACAATTTTAATCAGAAAAATATTTAACATATTTCACAGATTAAAATCATGAGTCAATTGAAGCTAGACCACCATGGGAAACCTGGAAGCACTGGACGGCCGCTTCGTCCTAGTATGGGACTCCTCATCAGTGCGAATCCACCATCCAGCACCCCACGAGATTTGAACCCAGGACCTATCATTCTCGTGTTAATGTCTAACTTTAACCAATCCACGAAGTTGCGCCACCGTATACCGGGATCGTGAATGCGCACTGATGAGGAGTCCCATACTAGGACGAAACGGCCATCCAGTGCTTCCAGGTTTTCCATGGTGGTCTAGCTTCAATTGACTCATGATTTCAATCTGTGAAATTTCTAAAATCTCCACAAGCCCTTCTGATAATATTTCATATTTATTTAGAGGTTAGTTTATTGTTTGAACTAATAGAAAAATTATTTTATAATATTCTTTAATCAACCAGAGAACACTAAAAAGTTGCTTATTATTTTTTATTTGAAAAATCCATATTGAATTCTTTTAAACAATTTGAATAAGGTAAACATAAGCAGAGTTCATGTTTTTTTGTTTTTCGGAGGGAGGAAGGTTCGTTAAATACAAAAATCTAAAGTTGATAAGTTGATAATTTACATAGGTGATAGGTTAGTGATATTGATGAATGATTCCAACCCATGAAAATAATGGCTAATACATACTTAAGATGTCATAAATTCATTTTTGTATTAGTTATTTGAATCTTCCCATTGATATTTAGGACTGCAATTGGTTAGTCTGTTATTGGAATATGTACATTCTGTGAGAATGGTCTCAATATTGCCTTAAGTCAGAGGCGAGGGGTACTGGGTTAGAGTCCCAGAGTGAACATCAACCCTGAGATGCAAGTATATCCAGCTGACTAGTCCAAGGCGGGACCAAACACGCGTTCCGGATTCCACTGCTAGTCACCACCTTTGCTTATAATGTTATAAATTGTTTAAAGTTGAAAAATTTTAGCAATTCAGTTTCATAGTAAACTTGTTGGTTGTTTATAAATCTAATATTTAGAATTTCCATTTAGAGGAGGGTTTTATAGACGGTTTGAAATTAACACTCCGCAACTATGTTGACATCTTAGACTTTAAAGGTAGTTGGCACGGGTTTATGTTATACAAGGAGCAATCCTTTCGTTCAGGATCGCAGAAACTCCTTGTTGACTACGTCCAATTAGATAACAGTGCTTTCATTGTTTTATTGAAGTACGATTATATCTTTTCGCAAAAGCGAACCTTTTGTTTTGTGTGTTATTCACCAATCTCTTACTTTTTTTGTAAATTTAACGTATCTATAGCCGCTAAAAGCACTTTCTAAAGAGCGCCCTATACCGAACATATTTAATGTGTATACGCTACTTACTGTGTCCTTACAGTTTCTTGTTCACTTCTATGTGCTGTATTTGTTAACTATGGAAGCTGAATTAAGAATGCCTAAAGTGTAAGTCATTTACTTGGATTAGAATATTATATATATATATATATATATATATATCCAAATAGTCAGTTTTACTTATTACTTAGATTATGCATAAACGTTTTGTAATCACCTTCAAATATCATCCTTACAAGGGAATATAATCTCGATATTAAGCTCGAATTTTTTTAAATTCATCCAGTTGGATCAATTTTCTTAATAATGACTTTTGGCCAATTATAATTACTGTAAATTTTACTGAACAAACGAAGCAGTTCACTTCGTCGTTGAATATTAAGTGCAGTAATAGTATAGCAGATAATGCTTCGTAAAGTGTCAAATCAAGAGCGAAATCTGTTCTTGAAGTCACTGATCTTTGTGGTGAATCATGTAAGAAAATGATGAATCCAACAATAGTGCTTTCTATCTAACCTTTTGGGTTTATCCGTTTTTCTTAAAATTTTCTGTAAATTAATTTATTTCCGGTTATATACTTCAAAATTCATTTACTTTTGAGATGGTCTCATGTCATTTTTCGGCTATTGAAAGTTTCTTTTCTAATGGGTTGTTCTGCATGGTTAGATTTAACAAAACGTAAACTGAAAATAGACTAACCGAGAACTTCGTAAAAATGTTCTAGAGTTTAAACTGTTACAATTTTCAACGAGACGAAAAAATAATTCGTGTTTTGGAAGGTAGTAAATTTCAAAGATTCCTCTCATTTCATCGATTGTGCATCTTGAATAATATGTACTTAGTTCACGAATAAACTACACTTTTATCATCTAAATTTTTCAGAAATCTTTTTATATTCTATTAAATAGTTATCAGTGGATTTACTTCTTACCGTTCATATATGGGCAGCATATTTATTCATGAGTAGTTCAAGTTTAATAAAATGAATGTCTTTTACTGTGAATTTGAAGTTTTTTCAAAAAGTCATCTGCATTTTTAACATTCGAAGCAGTTTATAAGGCTGTGTATTGAGATTTCTTTTTCTGAAATGTGGATTAGTCGTGTAAGTTATGAAATTCTTTGAACCGATGAAAAAGGAGGTTTAGAACGTTTAAAAAACTGTTCATTTATAGTTTTTTAAATCAACCAAAGCTGAATGTATACTCTGTTCATGTATCTCTAAAACTCAATGTATCTTTCCAGTTTGGATGATATAACTGGTGAAGTTTCAATACTTTAGATTGTAGTCTATCATAAAATATAATGCTTTGTCGTGACCAAAAATATTAGTCAATCTTAATATTAAAGTTGCCGGGTTGTCCTCACCGTTATTTTACAAATAGTTTTGTATTATATATTAGTGGTTTTACTATCGTAGCTGTTTTATCACCACATAGTAGCTCACACATGAAAACTAAACAAGAAAGAGAAATAACACTAAAGATATGGGATTATACCAATCCATTGAAGTTTGAAAACAAGCGGTTGGAACGCTTTTTTTGGGAACACTCTGATAATCACAGTACCGCATAGGAAATATTCAAGTGACGGTGTACACTTTGAGTCTAAGAGGACTCCGTTTTACAGCCTTTGCCGTTGCTGATTTTTCGAGAGATAATAGAAGTTTTACAATGAGACCATATGACTCATTAAACCGAATCTCATTGAAACGACGCTTAAATGTTTGCAATAGCACTCATATTTCGTTAGTGTAATAAGACGAAGATTATCAGAACTATGTGGCGTATTAGCGCAATACATTTCGAACAATCCGATCACACATATACTTGTTAAGAACATATATAAAAATAAAAAAAGTGTTCTTAACAAGAATATATGTGAATAGATTGTTTATAACGTATTGCGCTGATATACCACATAGTTCTGATAGTCTTCGTCTTATTACGCTATCAAAATTTATATACGGGACTAAGTGCTTTAAACACTTATATTATTTATTATTAGTAAGTAGTATAATATAAAACGCAAAAATACAATCAGGGTCGGGTATACCCAGAATTCATAGTCGGACTTATCGTTTTATATATACACGTCTATTTATGTTTTATATATAGTGTCTGTGGACCGTAACTCATATATAATTATGTAAATATTTCATCTGATCTGTCATTGTGAGTGAATTTGGTATTTATTTCCCGATTTTACCACTAATTTGTATTTCTTTTTAAAAATTGATTTTTCAGGGATGATGATTTCATAGATTTACATGCTGAATTTAAACCTTCAGTTTTGAACACTTTAGTCTATCTCATTTCAACCGGAATGGAAGTAAGTAACTTGTAAATAAACGCATCAATAAAATTGGTTTTAGTAACGTATGCCTGGATACCGGTTACCACAACGCGCAATGCTGATTAGTGCTGGGGATGGTTGGAAAAAAGTTAGAGGCGGCCAAACCTGAACTTAGCATCAGTCCTTAAAGCCACTAACTTCTGGTCTGAGCCATGTTGGTAGATGTAGACAACTTGATTGGGGTCCGCGTGACTTTCGTAACCAGTGGTTGGAGACTTGGTGACATGGCTCATAATGGCGTATGTGTATACACTCTCTGTCTTCGCTTAAACTAAGAGATTAAAATCACTATGTCTTTCTTTCTACGAACTAATTCTTTCTCCCCGTATCACATCCTTTTATGCTGTCCTATATGTATTACTGCCATTGAAGTAACTACTTTTATGAATTTTTCATCTTGTGCTATTGAGGTATGGCAACTTGGACTGATGCATAAATGTGCCTAGTCCTACATTGCAGCTGACTGATTCAATAATCTAGATTAGTAATGAAGATTTTATCATTCCGGATGCGCTACTACAAAACTCAAGGGACGTCAATTGCGTCGATAGCTTTTGATATAGAGGTTCCTTACTTTTTGCATAAACGTGTACGTCCAAGCATGAGGGTTACTAGTTGTTTTAGGATCAAGATTTTTTTTAGCTTTTTTCATTGTGAAAAGTCAGTATCGCTGGAGTTGACGGCTATTAATGATAAACACCTCACTGAGTAAGATTTCTAGCCTAGTCAACAAAACGACCTTACTCTTGGACCTTAAATTTACCATGTACGGTCATACCACTATCCACACTACTTCATTCGTTTTTTAGTGCTTCAAAGATTTGTGGTATAAACCGTAATGCTTTATTTACTCATCATAATAAGTCAAGTTGGTTTACTACATTAGTGTAAAAGTTAAACTTCTAATATTTACTTACAATTTCATTTCGTATAGATATTTAATATTATATTTCATCTTGTAAATACCATGCATATGTTTTACATATTCATTATAGACTGTCACATTGGCTGTAAACTATACTGGTCATCCGTTTATGGAGTCTTTGATTGAGAATAAACCAATGTTGATTTCTTTGATTGTCGCCGTATTAGGAATTGTAATTCTACCTTTTGGTCCATTCGCTGATGCTTTACAGTTAGTTCATTTAGATTATGATGTGAGTTGTTGTTCTTTCTTTTGTGTGTGTTATATTAAAAATGTTCATTTTATCATTTGAAAGTTTGAGGATTTTTAATTTTTCTACTTTTAATATTTATCTTAAGAAATATTTTATTCTCCTATAATTTCATATTGTACAGAATAAAAATTCAGATTGTTTATATTGGTTGTGTTAAGTACATGTTGAGTAATTCCAATTTAATAGAAGTACTATGCATTCATATAAAAAAAGGAATCTGTTTGTTTTCAACATATTTTCCACTGTTCAGGATTTCTAACTCACATGTTATAAAAGGTGAAGGTCGATGCATGCAATGAACTTTCCTTGAAAAGTTAACTATCTGATCTATATTAAACTAATATTATGTCTTTTTGAATACAATACAATCTATGCTTTGAAATATACAAATATATAGTTTATTTTAATGACTCTTCAATGATTTCTTAAGCTAACACTTATTGAAGAGAAGTAATATTGTACAAAAAATATGATGAGTTGTATATTTGCATTTAAATATCCAGTTAATAGCCAGGAACTGACACTATTGTGTTTCGACGAAAGTTGTCATACTTCAATGGAAGGCGATCAAGTATCAATAAATAATCACGTATTACTTAGTCCAAGACATATCCAAGTTGGTTTAAAACAGCTTAAAATTGTTTGTTTTTTCATTGTATTTGTTCAACATCTAACGGTTTTACTATTGGGCGTTTATAGAGATTGTTAAATTTTTTAGTTTACATCGTAGAATGATGTTAATTAAATACTAAGGGAAGAGCGTCGTGGATCCTCATTGCTAAGGTGTCTCGTACTAAGACGAAACAGCTGTCCAATACTTCTTCGTTTCTGATGGTCGCATAGCTGAGACCATTCCCTCTTTTGTGTAAACTGCGAAATATTATCTACTTTTCCAATCTTTAAAACATTGAAATTCAGGAAAGTGAAAAAGAAAACAATTTTTTTCTCATGTTTTGTACTTCTAATCTTTCTTTACCTTTATCTTCGTTTCTTTTTTATAGCTCCGTATAATGTTTTTCAAAGTATTGGCATTCGATTTCATAGCTTCATTTTTGATAGATCGTGTATTAGTCTTTATCTTTGGTCGAGTCAAACAAAAATCCCTTTAATGTGTCCAATCAATGTATCAACCATATTGATTGATGGAAGAAACGCGTCCGTCGGAGACAACCATCAGTTTTCGTTTTCATTTAATTAATTCACATGCACACATGTATTTGTATTAACAAGTTAACTGTGTATATATGTGAGCATGACAATTCATTTTGATATGTAATAATAATAATAACTATTGTTAGGATATGTTTTCATTTTATCTTTTTTTTGAATAGCTGTACTAATCTGTCTAATGTGCACCTTCATAACTTCTACAGTATAATAGTAGTAAAATGGTGTTAATATTTTTCTCTCTCCTAGAATATTAAGCAAATGTCCTTACTTCACTTTCTTCATTCGCTTTTTTTCATTAAAGAAATAAATATCTGTCCTAATAATTATATACATAAAGACCTTAATGCGTCGATATATGAATTTATTGTTGTGGGAAGGTTTGGTGTGTGATTATTGATGATACTTTCATTGACAATGATGATAGTATTCGGTTTTTCGTTTTGTTTTCTACGTTGTGGTTGAATTATATATATACATGTTTGATTCATCATATCACTTCTTTTGGAATACAGAAATTCATATTGAAGTTCCTTCGAAGTAGAGATTTTTTTGTTTTGTTTATATTATATATTATCTTTTATGTTGTGCTTAATAATCATCGTCACACACTACTACCATTCATTTACCTTGGTGTTCTTGTGTCATTTGTAAACTTGTTTTATCTTTATCCATCTCTCTGGTTTTATTCTTTTTCTGTTCCGATTAATATTTCTTGTGTCCCATTTTCTTTCTCACCTCTTTATCTTATCTCTTTCATGATAATGTTTATTAAGTATTTGTATATGCGTGTACATTGAATTCTCACTTTATTATTAACCTGTTGACAATTTATAGAAATTATTTGTTGTGATAAATTTATTACCCAATATAAAATATAAATTTATTATTTGTGTGTATTTTCCATATATTCTCTCTTATTCACCTTTTTGTTCTGTTCCTCCTTTTTTCTCCTTCTATTGACGATAGTTTTTATTATTGTGTATTTGTATATGCCTTTTTGTATGTTATTCAGTTTATACCCCAAGTACAATGTACACAATAGTTTATGGGGCTTAGTTATTTCTAATAAAATGTATAAGCGTTTTTTCCCCCAGTTATTTAATTCATCTTTTTTTCTCTCTCTCTGTGCATTGTTAAACATTTATATATATATATATATATATATATACATAAAGCAATTGAAATTTTCATGTTTTGTTATATGTTTATGTGTTAAAAGGAATCTACACATTCTACAGCGATTTCTATTTGTTTTTATCATAAATCTACACTGATCCTGAAATAATAAATAATTTTGTATAATAAATTGTTCTGTTTTCTTTCGATTTTCTTTTTTGTTGTTGTGTGCTTGTGCTTAGATTTAAGTTTATGATAATACGTGACTTATAACAAATTTTCAATATAGTGTATTATAATTTTATTTAGTAAAGTATAGAATTGTTTTTGGTATCTTTTTAATCAGTTATTTAATAAGAATGAATGAAAATTCATATTTATTAATAAGTAAATGTAGTGTAATGTAAAGTTTGAAGAGAATCACATAATTTCAAGTATTAAAAGGCGGTTGAGTATTTATTGAAAAGTTGAAGTAAAGTGTTGAGATGAAACTAAGTGTGTGAAAGAGTAACATCCACCTGACGTAAATGAGAAATGTAAAAAAATGGTGTTTATAGAGAAATAATTAAAACAAAAGACTGAAAAAAATATTCAGAGAAGGTATTAAGATACAGTTTACCGATTACGGAAAATTAAATGTTCAAGTGCTGGTAGGATGAGAGCTTGTATAGGTTGTTTTACACAAAAAATTGAATTTCGAAACGTTAAGCCGCTTATGTCACTGATGTGCACAACTTATTGATTTTGTTCCCTTTCAATCCAGTCATTTGACTGTGTTCGTAAACGTAATAACTAATGAATGTTTCATATTTATTCTTCTGAAGGATTTTTACCAGCTAACGAATTAATTCGGTTGTGTTTTTACAATAATAATATAATACTCATCGAGTGGATACGTTACGTAATAATTACATAATGACCTTTAAATTAACATTCAGTAATTGGAAGAGAGAGGATTATTAATATTCAAATTAATCAAGAAGTTGCTATGTTGCGTAATATAAGAAACAAAGAAGGAATAGAATTTTACCGGATGGTCAATAGGATAGTAGTTGCGTAAGAATCAAGAGATGAATGTTGAGAAGTTATAAGGCTCAAAAGTGATAGAAACAAAATTACAAAAACTTTAAAATTAAAATAAAAAATGGAAGAAGTGTGAAAAATAGTTCTTCTGACGGAAATGTTATACTGAAGGCCAGGGTAGAGAAAGTGGTTGTACGAATTTCTTTTGGATGCAAAGGTCAGGTTTGTGAACATGGATTGCGATGGCTTCCGCAATGTGCAAAAGGCGCAACAATATTCGGAACCTACTCAGTCTGAATGGGTACCCAATGAAATTCATCGAAAAATATATGACGGAGAAGAAAACAAGGACAAAAATACCCACTGTCCCCAAGAAGGTATTATTCATAAAACTACAATTCATAAATGACACCGTTGAAGAAGTCATAACTCAGAAACTAAGAAGAGCGGTACAAAAAACATTTAATGCTGCCAAATTAAATATCATCTTCTACAACCACCCGAAAATAAGAACATCCATTAAAGACAGACTGCCAGAATTCACCAAATCTATGTGTATCTATCGTTTCAACTGCTCCTGTGGAGCCAGTTACATAGGGTGTACAATTCGACAGGTCCGTCACCGCATTACAGAACATCATCCAACATGGCTAAGCAAAGGACAGGTGAAAGTGATTAAAAGTTCTATTCTCTCTCACTTGGTTGACACAGGTCATCAAGTCGAAGTGAATAAAGCTTTTAAGGTTATCTACAATATTCCATCAAATCTACCACATGGTTTACGGTTGCGCCTTTTTCACATTGCGGAAGCCATCGCAATCCATGTTCACAAACCTGACCTTTGCATCCAAAAGAAATTCGTACAACCACTTTCTCTACCCTGGCCTTCAGTATAACATTTCCGTCAGAAGAACTATTTTTCACACTTCTTCCATTTTTTATTTTAATTTTAAAGTTTTTGTAATTTTGTTTCTATCACTTTTGAGCCTTATAACTTCTCAACATTCATCTCTTGATTCTTACGCAACTACTATCCTATTGACCATCCGGTAAAATTCTATTCCTTCTTTGTTTCTTATATTACGCAACATAGCAACTTCTTGATTAATTTGAATATTAATAATCCTCTCTCTTCCAATTACTGAATGTTAATTTAAAGGTCATTATGTAATTATTACGTAACGTATCCACTCGATGAGTATTATATTATTATTGTAAAAACGTATATATATATTAGTGTAGAGCCATGATGAAAAACTAATTGAAAAGAAATTTCTTCGCTCAATTCGTTCCTTTTTTTATTTACCAAATGGCAAAATGGGAATTTTCACCATAATTCGGTTGTATTTTGTTAGATTCTGTAAATCTAGTCATTACTTGATAATATGGAGGCTAATCTTATCGCATCCTGGCCATTCATGAGCCCAATACAAGCACCTTTATCTGGACGACCTAGAACTGAATCTTTGTTTCTTAAAAGATCAGATAGTTGTGATTCACATTCTGAATCTATTCTCCTTGTTTTTGAATTTCTGTCACTATATTTGGTCACAATAGTTTACAGTGGGTGTTTTGAGTTAATCTAATTCATTTCTGGGAACAGGTCAGTTCTGCCTGACGAACTAGGCTTTGGAAATAGATTATATTTCTTTTTCCATAAATCAGTGATAGCAAAATATCAAGTAATTGCGGTTGTCAACACTTAAAAGACTAAGCAGTTGAATAGTCATGTAAAGTAAAACTTCTTGTTTTTTTGTAATAATTTTCAATCACTTCATACGTTGATCGCTGACTAGTAACCAATGTCATATTTTAGTCTATAGCTCTAGTCGAATTCTATCGATCGCGTTCTGATATAACCACTAGTGATTCGGCATCATCAGCTAACAAAACATCTAGGTCAGGCGTCTTTTGGTGATTTCCTTGAATCAGCTAACATCAAATTCCAGTCAGATCGTTCTTCCTTATACATATTTCTGGAAATTAACGGCTAAGTATCTAAAGTTGTGAACGCTAAATGCTGCCTGGTAGCATTGCAATGCAAATTTCTACAATATTTTCAAATTACTACTTGATTTATTTTATGTAATAAATTCTACTTGTTTGGTAATCTGTAATTTTGAATTCTTGTTTTGATATTATGTTTCTCAAAGTTAAGATTCTTTTGTTTTTTTCTCTACTGAGGAAATGTATCGAGTTTAGTTAGTTGAGTAGTTAACTATTTTATGCTCTTGACATTAAAAAAAATAACCTTTTTTTCTTTAAATTTTTTAAGTTTTACACTGAACTTTGTTCTTTAAAAAGTCTATCCATTTCTGAATTATAACTAAATGATCATTAATAAATCAAGGGAAAAAGTTATTATCCTATGAATATAACCGGTTTATTTCAGTTTACTGAGGCGTTAACATTTTTGTGATATAAAATTCTTCGTGAATGAAGCAAATATGGTCAAAATTTGTTTATTTAAAAAAAAACACAACTGAAATTATTTTGTTTTGATAATCCTTATAATAATAATAATAATAATAATAATAATAATAATAATAATAATAATAATAATAATAATAATAATAATGGTAATATTCATATCTCAGCCGTTTAAAAAATAATGATAGCATTTAGTAGTTAATAACATATGATTTTCCTTACCAAACGCCAAGGGAAAATGCACGTAATTCTGATTTGTTTTTTCTGATGATAATATTCGTAATAATAATTCATCCGTTAAAGTTAAATGTTAGTTGTCATGCACCCAGATTAAGAAGTGATTTATAAAGACTGAATAATTATTAAATTAAAATCATACTATGTACTGAAATAGGTAGTATTTATCCAAACACATTGATATTTATACCATTTATATAATAGTTGGTGATAAAAATGCGAATGAAGCAGCTGGATTTAGAAAAAGATAAACCATTTTATTGAGTCTAGGATTATCAACAATTCCAGGATAATTAGTATAAACCTATGTCATATTTTGTTTGTTTTTTTGCATAAGATTTAACGATGGAAAACAATTTTTCTCAAATGATTTCATCATTGAATAAATTATCATGAGAAAAAATAAAGTTAAATTATGAAATACATTTCACTGTTAATTGTGAAGGAGTGTATAATTTCAAATCGAATTTTCATAGTGAATATAAATAGATGTAAACTGACAACTTTCATATTCTCAAAGTTTTAATTGAAACATTCTATTTGACGTGTAATAATACCTCAATGTTTTTGTTAAATAAATAATAATAGTCGAGTTCATGAGTTAATTGAAGCTAGATCACCATGGAAAACCTGGAAGCACTGGACAGCCGTTTCGTCCCAGTATAGGACTACTGAGCAGTACGTATCGACGACCCCGCTTCACGAGATTTAAAACCCGAACCTATCGGTCTTGCGCGCGAACACTTTACCTCTAAACCACTGGGCCGGCATCCAACGTTGACTCATCAGTTGAACTACTAAATTACTATAATATCCACAAAACCCCTCTCTGGAAATAAATATTAATTAATAATTCAAAAAAAAATCGAGTGCTTCAATTTTGAATTTTTCTTCGATGCATACACCTGTAATATTTCCAAGTAGACGATGGTTAATTATGTACATAAAATGTAATACTTTGTACTTCTTTCAGGAAACGTAACTTTATTATCATCGTTATATAATAAGCAGAATAATGAAATAAAATTTTCCTATATTAACTACATATATGTTTGTGCTGTCCTTAAAGATTATTGGATTTAAAGACCAATGTTAATAAGGTACTAGTGTAAGTGTAACTCTTACATAAAATAATTCAAATATTCTAAGTTTTTTAGGAAAGTTGAATAGTGGCTAGTAGTGGAATCCAATATGTTCATTTCCTCTTATTTGGAACTCAAATCATACTTTTTGAATTCAGTCAGTTTATGATGTTCTCAGTAAAACATTTGACAAAACAAAGTAGTTTAATGAAGCTTCCATTTTGATAGAATGTCATTCAGAAATGGGTATTATTAATCAATATCATTGCTAAGTAACTACATTTTGTCTAACCCGGTTTATTCCAATATTAAAAGTCTACTTTTATTTCAAAAGAAAACAACTTAACGTATCCCATTAAATAAAGCTTTAAAAACTGAATATTGTCTAAAAAATTTTAGTAAGACAAAATATGAAACCAAAATTATCCAGATTATTTTCAAAACTGTCAACAAATGAAGAGAAAATAACAGAAAGAAATAGGTAGAGGGAGCAAGAGAGTTAAGTCATGAGAAATGAGATTTATGGGGAAACTATATATCTAAGAAAGATAGCATATAAATACTTTCATATTAACGACAAGAATAACAATGCTGACCGTAAAACAAATCTGTTCTCGTTGTGTTTCATTGAGCATTGAATGTTCTTACATAATACTTCAACAGCTAACTTAAAATGTTTCTAGTTTTTTTCATTATTGATGTCATAATGATTAACTTCTTTCTTTAATTCTTTCTCTTTCTATCTTAAATTTCCATATCTAATTATATTCAAATGAGTGGTAATTTACGTCTGTCATTTAGATTGATGTGCTATTTCACTTTTTATCTTTAATTTATCTTCAAATTATGTCGTTTACTTAGCGAAGATTCGTCGCAATCATTTTAATTGTAGATCCTTGTTTAAATTTGATATGGGTTGAATGATTACAATTAACACTTATTTGACTGTTACAATGGAAAACAGTTGTGTTTGTGTAACTGTATGACTGACTTTCTGAATCCATTTTAAACTCGACTAAATGATAATTGGATATTAAAATTCGACTGCTGGCGTAAGTCCTATAAAACGATGGATATGTTAAGACAAGGTCATTAGATATTCAATGGATTTATGATTTCTAATATCAGTCAACTTTTTCGACTATATAATAGTAATCTTTTAGCAATTGTCGAAAGGGTATGTAACAAAATGAATGCATTTTACTTTACACATTGTTTTGGTTTTGTGCTGTTTAAAAGTTGTAGTATAGGTTACTATGTTAATGCCATATAACTTATACTAGCTTCTGGACTGGCCAATTTATACATTTTTCATGAGTCACATTTTGACTTATCAACCTTGACTGTTTTTTAGGTGAGCATTTGTGTGTGCGCTTGTTATCCTATTGATCGCATGTCTGTAACTTATTTTTGTGTGACTATAAATGTTGATTAACGCTTGATTAAATCGAGTTGGCTCACACGCCTTCTCCACTGTGCGTCATTTCGCTTTGCTCTTCGCTTCATTCCTCTGATTGTCTGTTCAAATTACTGAGTGTACAAAATGTACGCATTCAAACATCTATTCTCGTATTTCACTCATTTAATTCCGTTATTCACCAACGCGATTTAAGTCAATGAAATATACGAGGATAGCCGACATGTGTGTTATTCCATAACAGTTAATCATATGATCTACTTGGAATCAGATCCCGGGCCACTAAAAAGTATAATTATAATGAGATTTCTTAAAAAATCATATTATTAATATGTTCATATATTTCATCATTAGCTAAGACATACTTTTCTGGTGATATTTTTTTCTCTATGATGTATCATCGGGTTTGGTTTATTGAAAGTTGACACAATATGATGTAATATACATTGGTTTTATATACGTCATTGCGTAGGTATCAAGAATAAAGTTTAGTAGGTTTATATATATAACTAAAAAGTACTCATTTAGTTTGGAAGATACAATTAATTCTTCTATTTTTAATATATTTTATGTGGTAAGAAAATCAACAACTTAATGTTATATCATTCGTGAGTTTTGTTGAGTTGTCAAGCTTCGTTCACTAGTGAAATGATTTTGATAAAATCCTTTTTTTTTAAAGATCACGTTACTTATCATCTGGTAATTTAGGTTAATAATTTGATTAGTAGTGATTAAGATAAA